CCAAACACCGCTGGGCTTTCGTGTGGTTTAAAATGGCCGCTGCCTCGTGGTCGACATACGAACGACGACCACCCTGAATTCGGTTTAATTGAGAAGTGTCTGCGGTTAACCACAACGTTCTAATTGGGATCAATAGGTTAACCAGCAGCACACTTCTCTCCTGGGTGGCCGTCCGTTCGGCAGGTTTGTTCGGGAAAAAAAGTCATTCGAATGGCTGGGCTATAGAAAACAGCCATTCATACGAACGGGATACAAACAGATGAATGCAACTAAAATACAAGCAGGCAGATGGTTCTGTCACAGTCACCTTGCTGTCCTGCTGAGCCTTCTCAATGGAGTGGAAGAGATCTCGGTAGTCCTGCTCCAGTTCCCACTCCAGTGAGCCAGGTCTTGCTCAATGTCATGAGTGTCGTCCCAGTCATACCTGCTCTCCCTCCACTCCAAGAGATCACTGAACCGGGCTTGTGTAGGGCTCCCAAATTTAGGCTCTGAAAAAGCCTCCCATAACAAGCCAGGACCATCAAACTCCTCTCCCTCTGGCTTGTCATGCTCGGCTGTCCAGGGCAGGTACTGTGCCCCATACCACCAGAGCGCCTGGTAGGCATCCTCCAGCCATAGCTCCTGCCATACCCGGTGCTCCAATTCCTTCACCCATTCATCCAGGGGCTGCTCTCCCAGGAAGGGCATCCGCAGGGCCACTTGCTTCTGCAATCGCTGCTCTTCACTGGGGAGACTCTCGCCCCGCTGGTATTGAACATTATCCAGGGCCTGGTACCAGATGCCTTTCCTTAATGCATCCCGGCCATCCAGGTCCTCCTCCTCGTATAACACTGCTGGTTCCATTCTGTTGATTTTAGGGTCGCTGTACTGGGACATGCATTGCCCCCACTTGTAAATCCAAAGAAATGGTGTCTCCTGTAGCTGTCCTTTTGGTTGTAGGAACGATCCCACCGCTGCCACCAATTGTAACGGCACCCCCAGGCATAAAAGGGTTAAACCGCCGTTTAGTAGATCTTCCCTTCCAGAGATGCAGGCACAGCTACTGCAGAACACCAATACGCCGAACAGGAAACCATATGAATGCTGTAGACAGCCGAATAGGAAAAACCATACGAATAGGTTTACACTCCTAGCAGTCAAACTGGAACAGCATACAATAAATCACCTAAGAACGAGACAAAGCTCCGTGTTGAGGGTCAAGCAGTGAACAGACAGAGCTGTGGTTTTATTGTGCTTATGTACACATTCTTACACATTAGTACCACCCACAGGGTTTTGGAACACAACCAATAAACACATACAATACACTCAGACACTCCCACACAAATTCCTCCCCTCTGCATGTGATTCAATTACCTTACACAATGGGTAATGTAATTTAGCACAAGCACAGAAATACAATTTTTCCACATTATTCATAACTTGAAAAGTATGCATCACATTCATGTAAAACTTACATACAGAATCAGCATACTCCAAATACAAACATACGTCAAAATCATACAAATTGGTCCAGTGGTTCAAAAGATAGATCGTAGTCCTTTGTGACCACAGGAAGCATGGCTTTTCTGCCCAAAACCAGTTCCACAGAGTCTTCTATCCTGGAGATAATTAGAAGTAATCCAATTATCTCCAAAGACAGAGGCAAAACTCCATTGAACACATGGCAGCAAAAGACAGTAAAATACAATAAAATACACAAGGTTACATTTATGACATAAAATACAGACATGCAACATATGCCCAGATAGCTTAGGTCTAAGCGCACATTATTACTGAACGGCGCTCAGAACACACACATACAGTTCAATTGCCATGGAGCCAAAGTCTTTCCCATAGTATTTCATTATACGAATGGGCTCCATGGCATAGCTATCTGGGGTATCACTACTCAAACAGGGCAAGCACCAAATGACCCGGCTTTCTTGTCTTTGCAGGGGAAAATCAAGCCTTTTAACATGGGGCCATAATCCAAAGGCAACAGGCGAGCAACAAGGCTTCTCCACTGCAATGTGGCGAGATTGCTCTCGTCACAGCTTCTAAAAGACCTAGATAAATGGGCATATCCACACATGTATTGGTACGGGCATATTGCAGTACTCAAAATAAATATCCTCCCACAAGTGCTCTACCTCTTCCATCACATGGCGATACCGGCATTGTTCTTCTCCACCCTAAAATCAGCATTTATACGATACATATGGCGAGGGGAAAAATCGAGACTTAGACATGACCTCCTTTGCTTACCTAGAAACAGAGGAGGCCTAGCCCTTCCAGACTTCAGAAAATATCATCAAGCCACAATACTACAATGCATCCTAGAGTGGCATGCAAAGCACACGCGGAAACAATGGGTGAGCCTAGATAGAGTAGGTCACGGCAAGATGGTGAAATCAGCCCTCTGGAGAGTGGGCACAGGTGAGGTAGAGCATGGAGACAGAACGGGACCAGTGATGCATACGCTGACCAGCTGGAAATCACTAAGAGAACAACCACATACGTCGCCCACACCTAGCCCCCTGCTTCCGATCACTTACAATCGTGCACTAGGAGGGTGACTCCTCCCGAAAGCATGACCCTTCCTGAGGGGACGAGAATACATACCAATCCACCTAACACTGCAAGATGGGACACTGAAACCCATGGACTCCCTGTTGGAGGGCACGTCGTGATCCACCCTGGCAAGACTCAGATACATGCAACTAAAACATTACTATGATAAATTCCACCACAAGGAACGACTACACAGGGACCTTACATGTTTTGAGGTATGCTGTGAGAAGGGCACCATGCTTGAAAAAGCCATTTCAACACTTTACCAATATCTCTTGGTTGGCCAACTGCCGGAAAACGTCACCTTTCGCAGACAATGGGAGGAAATACTGAATAAAACGCAGACACCCCCCCAATGGGACAAAGCACTGATATAGCAACACAAGAGCTCCATCAGCTCGCAATACCAGGAGACAAACTATGAACTGTTATCGCATTGGTACAGGACTCCCTCCCAGCTACACCGAATATTCCCAACTATCGACCCGACATGCTGGAGATGCCAGACGGAAAGGGGAACAACACTGCACATCTGGTGGAACTGCTGAGACATCATCCCTTACTAGGAGATGATCCGAACCAAGGTGACGGAGATCTTGGGAAATCCAATTGACTGGTCAGCTGAACTAGCTCTCCTACATATATCCTCACACTCTATATCACAATACAAAAAATCGATTCTGCTGCATCTGCTAAATGCGGCCAAGGCACTTATCCCGGTGTACTGTAAACGGACGGACGTACCCGGTGATGAGGAATGGATCCGCAGAGTTGAGGGCACCCAGGGGGCGGAGGCGATGCAGGCCTCCCTCCTAGGAAGAGGCGATAAACATGCGGAGCTCTGGCAGCCATGGTTTGAATTTGTGTCCCAGGGCCTGTGAGGGACGGGACAACACACAACTCAAACCCTTAAGTAGAGAGGAGCCGGCTCGATATGACAGAGATTACACCAAACTTCTATGGCCCCCCTCCCTTCCTCCCCTTATGGCTTTGGCACTGTGCTGCAGGATCTGAGCTTTTCCTGCACCGTGGGGTCACGGGAGGGTCACCAAAAGCAAAGGGCACTGAGCCCCAAGACATGACAAGCAAGGCCCGGAAACTTCCCTTTACGTTTAATCCACATACTCTTCCTACGTCCCCTTACTATCCTTTTCCACTTCTCTATCACTCTAATGCTATTTGACTCAAAAGACCTCATAAATTACCGAACACCTCACACACCCTAAGGTGGTGGACCCTAGAACTAAAAACACTGTGACCACGGCAAAGATGCCATATTGACCTCCCTCCCCCCAGCTGAAAATAAAGACTGTAGAGCCTCACCAGAATAAAGGGGGCACATTTAAATGTGTCATTAATGGTCATTTGATAAAATTAGGAATGCAGATGAAGAAGAGAAGGGAGAAGAGTTTATCCAAATTAAATATTGGTTTGGTGGAATATAATAAGAATAAATCCTCCCCCTCAGAAATAATAACAGAGATAGAAAATTTAAATAAATGAGCAATTAATAGCTAAAGCAAAAAGGGGGCGGGGATGACGATGTGACGTCACGTAGGGGGCGTTACGTGACGGGCACGACGCCGTATTGAGCTGAGCTGGCGTCCCACGAGGGAAAGAGCCGATACTGGATTATAGATATCCGCTGAAGATTTGGTCTCTCTGACTCTTAGAGAATGCTGTTTGGATCTGCACATTGTGAGATATAATTACCGCATAAATTGCTGCCTCAAACTCTCCAAGTTACCTCGGAGCTGCTCAGGTGAAACACCCTTCAACACTACCGTGAGACTACCGTAAGTGGAGGCTCAGTCCCGGTGGGGAGCTGTGGGGAGCCGGATAACGCTTTCGGGATTGTTGTGGGTAGAAAGGGGAAAAAAAAAATCCCTGAAAAGGAGGTGAGCACTTGAGCACAAGCCTGTGTAATTATATTTTGGTATAATATATATCACTAAGAAGACACTAAGGCATTTAAAAGAAAAGCTTGTCAATTTTTGGTTTTTTATTTTTTTTTGAAGCTTTATGAAGCAGCTGTTGCGGTAAAAGTCAATTTTTCTATAAAAAAAAAAAGAGGAGTTTTTATAAAAAAAAAAAGCAGGAAGCAGGAAAGAATTAAAGGAATGATAAAGAAAGATAAGATAAAGATTAAGACAAGAAAAGGATAAGGGACAAAAGAAGAAGAAGAAAAAGTAAGAAGGATAAAGAAGAGAAGAAGAAAGGGGAAAGAAAGGAAGAGACAGGAGAAAAGAAAGGTTGAAAGAAGAAAGGGAAAGATAAAAGAAAAGTAAGAAAAAAAAAGGGGGAAGAGAAAGAAAAGAGAGAGTAAAAAGGAAAAAAAAAGTATAAAAAAAAAAGAGAAAAAAAGGGGGGAAAGTAAAAAAAAGGAAAATAACAGGAAAAAATAAAGCCCAATAACCTGCCTGAAAGTATTGAAGGTAATTAAGGGGCTTAGTTGTAAATAAAAGAAAAAGGAAGGAATTCGATTTAAAAGTGGTTAATACAAGAAACATCAGAATCGTCTGGCAGGGCTTCTCTGCTAAATAAAGCTTCTAAAATATAACTTGCTTTAGAATATAGAGTCAAAACAGATCAGAAAGATGACAACAAGGAAGACAGCGGACCAAAGACAAGATCTGAAACCCCTCCCAAAAAAAGATCGGGAGAAAAAAGATAAACAGGAAAAGAGACTATCAAATTTTTTTAATGCTCCTGCAGATAAAAGTATCGTGGAAATCTCTTCAATACTAACACCAAACAAATTGATTTTGAGTAAGGAAATTGGAGAATACAACAAAACAGAGTTACGGGAATGTATAGAGGAACGACAAATGATTACTCCTGAGTACTTAAAAGAATGTTTAGACCAACAGTTTGAACAAATAAAAATAGAAATGCAGGGGAGCTTTGCCAATTTAAAGCAAGATATATTGTCAATTGGACAAAGGGTTAAAGTCCATGAACAAAAAATAGAAAGTTTGGAATTTCTTCTACAGAAATATTGTGAGACCATCGAGAAACAACAAATGAAGATAAATGATCTTGAAGAGAGAACTACAAATATAGAGGACAGAGGCAGAAGAAATAATTTGAGAATAAGAAATATTCCTGAATCTATTTTACAAGAAAATCTGGCAGTATATCTCACTGAGTTTTTTACAAACCTTAAAATAAAAATTGATGAGAAAATTGACTTTCTTGAAAGAATTCACCGACTTTACAAACCAAGAACACTTCCAGACGATCTTCCAAGAGACGTAATCATAGCCTGTCATTCATATTCATTTAGAGAAAAAAATTTAAAAGCAGCAAGACAAATTGGAAGAGACCAAGATAAATTTAAAGACATAAAGGTCTTTCCAGATCTGTCTTTTCAGACAAGGAAAGCGAGGAAACAATTTTTGCCAGTTACTCTCCGGTTAAGGGAAAATAATTTAAAATATCGTTGGGGTTTCCCCACTAAACTTATAGTTACTAAAGATGGGATTACACATACATTTGATTCACTTGATTAGGTTACAAATTGGTTGGAAATCACGGTTTAATAATGGATAGACTGATATAAGGGAGGTGGATATCTCCTGTTTTGCACTCAAAAAGATTAATAAGTATATTTAAATGGATAGGTTTGATATATTTTGAGTTATCAAGATATGCTGAAATAGAATTATAAGGATTTAAATTGGAAATTTTTTATTTTTGTTTTCCTTTCTCTTTTCACGTTAAAAAGTATTATGGATAGGGGAGTAGCAAGTAATGGACGTGAGGGTAAAGAAAAGAGAAAAAGATAGATAGTAGAAATAATTGGTGGTTAGATAGTACATTATAGGATTATAAGGTAATAAGATAAAAAGTAAAGCCATTTATATAGCACTGGGTTAATTTCATATTTTATTAGGATAAGCACAAGGAATAATTGAAAAATTAATAGATCAGTATCACGCTTATGCAAGCTGTTTTATATTTGTTGTATAAGAGTAAAAGTTGGAAAAGATTCGATGGAAGTGACATCCATATACACTGGGTTAATTGGCAAATTTTTAGGGTAAAAAAACAAAAATAAAAAAATAGAGAAAAAAAGAAGAGAGAAAGAACGTAGGAGGGAGGAGAAGAGAGGGGAAGGGAAGGAAAGAAAAAGAAACCTTTTTTTTTTTTTGCACTTGGAATAATGAAAAGGATAACACATATACATACACGGGCACAAGTTTTAATGTATTTCAGGTGAAAGTTGGGGGTAAAGAAGTGTGAGTACTCCAAATAATTGTGAATCACAGATTTAGACAGGACCGTCTCATAGTAGGTGTTTTTAAATTTGGAAGAATCGAAAGAAGGAGAAGGGAAGGAATGAGAAGGGGAAGGAGAGGGAAAGGAAAAGAAAAGATAAGGTCTTGACAATTTGGTTTATAGGGGGGAAGTTTTGGATATCTAAGTAGTATTTTAGTAGGCGAAGTATTAATTTAACTATAAGGGATGGTCTTAGCTCAGCTCTTCTTTTTTCCTTATCTAGGAGCTATCCGGATGAGGACAAGATTCCATTGGGGTTTTTTTCCCCCTATGGATCAATACCCAGAGTATAATACTCAGGGTTACTGGTATGAATGCCTCTCATATATGAGGGGATGCTGTATGTTTGTTGTAGTATGTGTATTAGTGGTGGATGCTAATTTAGATAGAAAATCATTAAACAAGGTGGGGCCAAATAAAGCAATAATCTCACAAGCAGTTCAATTTCAAAAGATGATTAGGAATTATGGATTAATGGATATATGGCGCACGTTTCATCCAGAGGAGAGAGATTTTACATGTTTTTCTAGAACCTACTCAAGAATTGATTTATTTTTGGGTAACGACGGTCTGGTTAATTGCACTAAAAAAGTTCTTATAGACGAAGTCACATGGTCCGACCATAATGCTATAATTTTGGAGTTGGACACAAAGAATAATAGTGCTAGAAGAACAAATTGGAGATTAAATGATAATATTCTTTCTAATAAAGAGAACAGAGAATATATTGAGGAAATGACAGACAGGTTTTTTCAAGAAAATGAGGGGGGAGAAGTTTCACTTCCAGTCGTATGGAATGCATACAAATGCGTTACAAGAGGCTACTTAATTAAACTGGGTACAATAGATAAAAAAAAGAAGGGGAAATCCCTTAGAGATCTTTATGTAGATTATTACAAACTATCTAAAGAAAATAAAGCCTCACCAACTCAGGATATAAGTAAAAAAATGTTACTAACGCAAAACAGTATAAATTAATTATTAATGGAGGAGAAAAATAGAAACTTACAATCATTAAAGATAAATTGGTATTATAAGAGCAATAGGGCAGATAGGTTGCTTTCAAATAAATTAAAAAATAAAAAACAATTAAGGAGGATTCATAGAATCGATACAGAAAGGGAACAGCTACTGTGCCCAAAGAAAATCGGGGCAGCCTTTAACGATTATTATAGTCAATTATATAATTTGGAATCAGTAGGACAACAACATCCTTCATCAGAATTTTTTAAAAATAAAAAAACACCAAAAATAACTAGAGAACAACTTATGGAGATAAATAAACCAATAACCTCTGATGATATTAAAGCAGCTATACATAAGTTACAGATAAGTAAAGCTCCCGGCCCAGATGGCTACTCAAATAAATTTTATAAGATATTTAGGGATATTCTCTCTGAGCGCCTTGCCAGGATATTTAATCAGATAGTGGAGAACCGTACATTTCCTAAGGAGATGCTTCAAGCAAATATTGTCCCAATTTTGAAACCGGACAAAGATCCAGCTAAATTGGCGAATTATCGTCCAATATCTCTCCTTAATGGAGATGTAAAAATCTATGCTTCAATTTTAGCAGATCGTTTAAAAACTTGTATTCCTGCTTTGATACATCAAGATCAAGCAGGATTTATACCCGGTAGAGCAGCCTCTGGAGGCCTAAGAAGGATACTGAATGTTCATGATGCTGCGATAAAGAAGAATGTCCCCCTTCTGACCCTGTCATTGGATGCTGAGAAAGCATTTGACAGGGTCAGTTGGGACTTTTTGGGGAATGCACTCAAGTTGCACGGTATTGTGGGAGCAGTTTATGATGCTATTATGGCATTATACACTATGCCCTCTGCTAGGACCATAGGACCAGGAATAGACGCAGATTGGTTTAATATTAAGAATGGTACTAGGCAGGGCTGCCCTCTGTCTCCGTTACTCTATGTTTTAACCATAGACCCTTTGGCAGAAGACATTAGGATAAATGAGAAGATTAAGGGACTCAGGCTCAATAATGTAGAACATAAGATCAATCTATATGCAGATGATGTCATGCTTATGATCCAGAATCCCAGATCTTCGCTACCGGAATTGATAAAAATAGTGGCCCAATATAGTGAATACTCAAATTATAAATTAAATACTAATAAGACTACAATAATGACAACCAATTTATCTAATGTAGAAAAGAATTTTATTAAAATCTCTTATGACTTTGTCTGGGTGAAGGATAATACTACCTTTCTTGGTATTAAAATTCCAAGGAATATAAAAAAAATAATAAAGGTTAACTTTCTTCCACTTATTAAATTTACAAATAAGATCTTAAAAGAATGGGTTAGTAGAGAGATCTCCTGGATAGGATGTATAAACACCATTCGCTCATATATCCTGCCTAAATGGAATTATCTTTTTAGAATGATACCTATACAAGTTCCAACTCCATGGTTAAAAATGATACAATCAGCTTTTTCCAAATTTATTTGGAAAGGGAAAAAACCGAGGATAAGTTTACAGTTATTATCTAAGAAAAGAAAAGATGGGGGACTTGCTGCCCCTAATATAATAGAATATCATAATGCTTGTATGCTGGCACATGCCGCTAACACCTTGAGTAGTGATCAAAAAGACCAAGCATGGTATCAAATTGAGCAATCTTTGGTAGAGACAAATAATTTACCAGCTTTATTCTGGACAACAAGGAAGCAGAATAACTTAGTACACCCAGAAAATTCTATTATTATAGACAACATTCTTAGATATTGGTATAATATTAAGAAGAAACTTAAAATAGAATATAGACTGTTTCCTTTTTTGCCCTTAGAGGTAATTAAGGGGAACATTGAGGATATCAATATCAGGGGTTGGATACAAAAGGGTATTACGAATATACAAGAGATTATAGACAGCAAGGAAATTAAGTCATTTAATCAGATACAATCAGATTTTGGGATTGATAGTAAGGAAATATTTACATATTTAAGAATCAAGTTTTACTTGGCGAAATATATGGATTTCCAGCTTAATAAAAATATCACTTACTTAAAAAAGATTTTGGAAACTCACGGAGTCAAAGGTCACATCTCTAGATGCTATGAGTTTCAGGGGGATTTTCAGAAGTCTTTCATCTGGAAATCCAAAATAATGTGGGAAAAAGATCTACATATGGTAATCCCTGAGCAAGATATGATAGGTGCGATTGTCAAGGTCAATAAATCGGTACACTGCTTGAATATAGTGGAGAATTTTTATAAACTTATGAATAGATGGTATATGGTTCCTGAAAAGTTGGCTAAATTGTACAAAGATCAGAATCATCTCTGTTGGCGTTGTGATGTGGGGAAAGGAGATTATCTCCATATATGGTGGTATTGTAAATCTTTAAGCAAAATATGGAAGTTCATATATCAACAGATTTACAGTGCTTGCCAGATATATATACCTTTCACACCCCAAAGCTTTCTGTTACATCAGGGATGGCCCTCTATGTCTACTGAGAAACGGATGTTGATAATACATATTTTGATGGCAACTAAGATAGTTCTAGCCAGATATTGGAAAAGTAATAAAGTTCCAGATAGAATTGAAATTAGAAAACAAGCTATATATCAATGTAAAATGGAAAGCGGAATAATCCAAGGAAATTCTGTCGGTTTGAGAAAATTCTGTACTTGGGAAAAACTGGTGGATAAGTTTATTGCTAGTAATTAGAGCTTATAATATAGTAGGTTGGTGTGGCCCCCACTGTGTGTCTGATCCTGGAGGGACGTTAGTAATAATGCACTTATTAATTTGTGAAAGTAATAAGGTGATGATAATATCTTAGTCCCACGGGATGGAATGTGCGAAAGGTATGAATTTTGGGTTTTAATGTTTCCTCTATTTTGATATCATGTTTTTTATAGATATGGTTATTTTGTATTGAGATACCCTGGTAATGCCATAGAAGGATACTTACGGATATAAGTATGTAAGAAATTTATATGCATTGATTGAATTGATGTTTGTTTCTTATCAACTCTTGCATTCTGTTTTAACTGAAAACATTCTAGGAGAAATTTTTTGAAATGTTGACAGAGGAATTGTATGCATGTTTATGTAATTTTTATATGGAAAAAAAAATTGTTTTTGAAGAAATAAAAATGAGTCATTTATTACACGTGAGTTTACAGAGGAAGAGGTTCTATTTCAACTGTCAAAAGTAAAGACAAATAAGTCAATGGGACCTGATGGAATACACCCAAAGCTATTAAAAGAGCTTAGTGGTGTACTAGCAAAACCATTAACAGATTTATTTAACCAATCATTGTTAACAGGTGTAGTCCCAGAAGATTGGAAGTTAGCGAATGTTGTGCCCATTTACAAGAAAGGTAATAGGGAGGAGTCGGGCAACTATAGGCCAGTAAGCCTTACTTCAGTAGTGGGGAAAGTGATGGAAACCATGTTAAAGGATAGGATTGATGAACATCTAAAAACACATGGATTTCAAGATCAGAGACAACATGGGTTTACTTCAGGGAGATCATGCCAAACTAATCTTATTGATTTTTTTGATTGGGTAACTAAAATTATAGATCAGGGTGGTGCAGTAGACATTGCTTACCTAGATTTCAGTAAGGCTTTTGACACTGTTGCACATAGAAGGCTTATCAATAAACTGCAATCTTTAAGTTTGGATTCCAATATTGTTGAATGGGTAAGGCAGTGGCTGAGTGACAGGCAACAGAGGGTTGTAGTTAATGGAATATATTCGAAGCTTGGACTTGTCACCAGTGGGGTACCTCAGGGATCTGTACTTGGACCCATTCTCTTTAATATTTTTGTTAGTGATATTGCAGAAGGTCTTGATGGTAAGGTATGTCTTTTTGCTGATGATACTAAGATATGTAACAGGGTTGATGTTCCAGGAGGGATAAGCCAAATGACAAATGATTTAGGTAAACTAGAAAAATGGTCAGAATTGTGGCAACTGACATTTAATGTGGATAAGTGCAAGATAATGCATCTTGGGCGTAAAAACCCAAGGGCAGAGTACAGAATATTTGATAGAGTCCTAACCTCAACATATGAGGAAAGGGATTTAGGGGTGATTATTTCTGATGACTTAAAGGTAGGCAGACAATGTAATAGAGCATCAGGAAATGCTAGCAGAATGCTTGGTTGTATAGGGAGAGGTATTAGCAGTAGAAAGAGGGAAGTGCTCATGCCATTGTACAGAACACTGGTGAGACCTCACTTGGAGTATTGTACACAGTACTGGAGACCGTATCTTCAGAAGGATATTGATACCTTAGAGAGGGTTCAGAGAAGGGCTACTAAACTGGTTCATGGATTGCGGGATAAAACTTACCAGGAAAGGTTAAAGGATCTTAACATGTATAGCTTGGAGGAAAGACGAGACAGGGGGGATATGATAGAAACATTTAAATATATAAAGGGAATCAACACAGTAAAGGAGGAGACTATATTTAAAAGAAGAAAAACTACCACAACAAGAGGACATAGTCTTAAATTAGAGGGACAAAGGTTTAAAAATAATATCAGGAAGTATTACTTTACTGAGAGGGTAGTGGATGCATGGAATAGCCTTCCAGCTGAAGTGGTAGAGGTTAACACAGTAAAGGAGTTTAAGCATGCATGGGATAGGCATAAGGCTATCCTAACTATAAGATAAGGCTAGGGACTAATGAAAGTTTTTAGAAAATTGGGCAGACTAGATGGGCCGAATGGTTCTTATCTGCCGTCACATTCTATGTTTCTATGTTTCTAAAAAAAAAAAAATAGCTAAAGCAAAAAGAATTTAGAAATGTTAAGATCAGGGCTGTTTGAAGGAATTTGGGGGCCCCAAGCAAAGTGGACATGGAGACCCCCCCAACCCCCCCCACACGCACGCAAAGCCTACAGGAACCACAGCATAGCCATACAGTTTAAGTTTACCCACACTTTATATAAATAAAAAAGGTTTAAAGTGCAAATACTGCTGTTGCATATACTGTGCATAAATAAAAAATGTTTACAGTGCAAATACTGCTGTTGCATATAATGCGCATAAAATTTGAACATTTTCAACAATTGAAAATTCACTGTGTTCTCCTCATCTCCGCTTCACCTCACCCCCTCCCTGTGTTCTCCTCATCTCCCCTTCTCCTCACCTCCTCCCTGTGTTCTGCTCATCTCCCCCTCCCTGTGTTCTCCTAATCTCCCCTTCTCTTCACCTCCCCCTTCACTGTGTTCTCCTCATCTCCCCTTCTACTCACCCCCCTGTGTTCTCCTCATCTCCCCTTCTCCTCACCCCCCTCCCTGTGTTCTCCTAATCTCCCCTTCTCCTCACCCCCCGTGTTCTCCTCATTTCCCCTTCTCCTCACCCCCGTGTTCTCCTAATCTCCCCTTCTCCTCACCCCCCAGTGTTCTCCTAATCTCCCCTTCTCCTCACCTGTGTTCTCCTAATCTCCCCTTCTCCTCACCTCCCCCCTCCCTGTGTTCTCCTCATCTCCTCACCAGCTCGGGGCCCCAAGCTGGGTTTGCTTGCCTGGTAGCAATGGGCCTGGTCAGGAGGCCCATTGTAAAGCGCTGGGGAATTTGACGGCGCTCTATAAATATCATAATAATAATAATTCTGTTTGTATTGAATTAAGGTGAGCTGACAGTAAACTCTTAAAATTTAATTTTGAAAAAGGCAAGTGTGAAACTAATAAATACCAGCCAGGAAGGAAAACAGGATTCCGGTAAACTTCCCAATAGTTCTTAAAAATAATTTGTTATTAAAATGTGTTAAAAAAATACTTCAACAGTTATAAAATGTCCAGTCCAGTAGATTTCGATTGTGCTATTATTTTTTTTAAACAATCTCACTAGTTTCCTTTTTTTTGGAAAGTGTCCATTCCACTTTAATTATAAAGACTGATTTAATAGATTTTACATTCAACAAGATTTACAAGCTATCCTTGTATATTGTAATCCATGTAAATGAATGAATAAAATGTATTAATCTAAATTTCAAACAAGAAATTCATTTGCATAATTAAATTCTATTATATCTTTTCCCTGTAGGTGAGAGTTTACATTGGAGCGCTTACAGATGAAAAAAATGAATACGCTGACCTTATAGTCCTGAGGTTTTTGTCCATGAATTCCATTGTTGACCCTTGGATCTTCATAATTTGTAGAACGTCCAAATTTCACACCCACATACACCGACTATGCAACAGAATTCATTTCAAGAGGAGTGGTCATCTGCCTCTTTCTCAGCACATCACCCAGGACAGCACAGAGCGTGGGATGTAGCTTAAAAGAGGACTTGTTAGACTGGAACACTTTCTCTATGGCTAACAAGCATTTTTACAGCAATCCCATCAACTCCGCAGAGAGCTATGAGGTGCTCCAACATGGGCAGAACACTTCTGTATGCATTAACCAATTGTGCGTTATTTTTATCCAGTATCCTACAGACCCAGGATTCCAGAGAAATACAATGGGATGGTGGAACAATGGTACCAAATCAGATCTGGGATGGTTAATAGCTATGGAATTTACTTCAATCATTGTAATAACCTTTCACTCAGATTAACTATAAAGCAGTGCCTATCACTACAGAGTCCCTCTGCAATAAGACTACAGGGGTTGAACCCCACATGATGAGGGAAATAAATGAATAGGTTTGTAGCTGGGACATAGATGAGCTGGGAGTTATGCCAAAAAGAAGCTTGATATAAGCAATAGGGTGGAGGGTTATGAGATGCAGGTGACCACTGCTAAATCATGGCAACTTCATCTCCCACTGGGTTACTAGCCTTTCCTAGTACTGTCTAAGCTTGTCTTATGGCAAATTCTGTAAGCTGATTTGGTTATATTTTGTTTATATTATGTTTCTTGTTTTGGCCATGTTAATAGAACCTTGACCTAAACAACGAAGTATGGTGGTTTTAGCAGCAACAAGATAATGCTGTAAAAAAAAAAAAAACACACTCCAGAGGTAATATGATAAAATGTATCTGGGGAACACAGAGACCTAGTTGGGCAGCAAGAAATCATGTGCAGATATTCTTTAAAGACAGAGGTCCCCTTTCCTGTTTTCATTCATTTGCTAGAGAGTCAGCATTCTGGACTTACAACACCCCCTCCCCCCCTATACATATTGATTCATCCCTGAGGAAGAGAGGTATACTCTCAAACGCTTATCTTAAGTATTATGTTAGTCCAATAAAAAAGGTATCACTGCATACTTCAATATGCTGGTATTTTGTCTACAGGACTAATCTGACTAATTCTATCTATCTATCTATTTATCTTTCTCTTATCTATCTATCTATCTATCTATCTATCTATCTATTTATCTTTCTTTTATCTATCTATCTACTTACCTATCTATCTATAATCGATCTATCATCTATCTATCTATCTATCTATCTATCTATCTATCTATCTATCTATCTATCTTTCTATCTGTAATGGATCACCTGGCACCCCGACTGGGTTGAAGGATGCTTCTAGTGCTTCCTGAGGGCTCCAAGCACTCCACGAGAGACCCCATGAACTACCACAGCTTGGTTAGGGTCTCGCCGTCTCCTACCCACCCTGGACCTACGACAAGGCTCCAGGTTCCAGTGGGTGAACTTCTCTTTTACAAGAGCTTAGTGATTATTCAAGGGAGTATGAAGAGCATAGCAATCCCTTGTAGCAGATTCCCCCAATAAGAGAAAGGACTCTAGATTGAGGGTGAAGTAGAACTAGTTTAATGAGCACAAAAGCACGTGAACCTTGTGGAGCACAGGACACAAAGTCACAACAGCCAATCAACACAGTATTGTACAGTTAGACACTCCCAGCTAATGTACCGCCCTTCTGCCTGTGATACAATTACCAAACACAATGGACTAACTCAATTACCACAGGTAGAAAATATCCAGTTTTACCCAAAGTCCAGAAACACCCCAAAAGGGCTGATGGGAGATTGAGGAGGGACAAAGCAGCCAGTTTAAACTGGTCTTGCAGGACAACGCCCTGCTGGAGAAACAATAGGATAGGAAAAAGGGGGAGGGGAAGAGGCACATTTTCCCATAGATTTAAAGGGGCAGAAAAAGTGTTTTAAAATCTAATATGCCCAAATAGGGTTTTTAAACGGCACAGGGCAGGAGGCGGGCAAGCAGGCCCCTCCAAAAACTCATGGCAAACTCCCTTAAAAAGGGGAGTTTGTCACACATCTCCCCTCTCCTGGGGAGACTATCCAGACCCCAGACCTCCAATCGGTTTGAGGCTCTGATAGTCTGTTGGTCTTTCTCAAAAGGCATAGTCTTCCAGATGACCTCTTTCCACAAGGGCCCAGTCGTAGATCTAGTGTCTTGTGGGGAAACAACCTGGATGCCCTCTCCCCTGGTTGGACAAAGCTGTTGCTGGGGATGGCGGGTGCAGTCTCTCCCCTCCGTGCCTGGTGGGTAGAGGCTCTGCCCCATAGCCAGCAGTTCCACTGGGTTGGTTGGTGGGTCGTCAGGCCCTAGAACAAAGGGGTAGTGAGGGCAGAGGCTAGCTGCGCTCTGCCCAGAGGCCAGCTCTTTTGCTGGGATGTGGTCAGTGAGTATTACACCCAGGACCTGGTTGTGGATTTGTTGTGGAGAGGAGGGATCACTTACCTCCTCCTCCTGGCTTTCCTGGGGGGTTGGTTGGGGATCTGGATCAGCCATCTAGCATTCCCGCAGGTCTGGTGCAGAGACCGTGGTCCCATCTGCACCATTGGGGTTAGGGGTGCTGTCCCCCTGTGGTTGGGGGGAAGGACTAATTGTCTCCTCTCCTGGTAGCTCCAGTTGCTGTTGGGGAGAGAGACCTGTTGTCTCCTCTCCCAGGAAGGGACACTGTCGCTGGGGAGGGAGACCAGTTGTCTCCCCTCCCTGTAATATGCACTGCGCTGGGGAGAGTGTACGAGGCTTTCCTCTCAGCTGGCTGCCCAGCATCCCTGTAGGGCTGCTTGAGAGACCTCGGTCCCATCTCCACCTGCCAACTGGGGGTCTTCCCAGGACCAGTCGATAAGGTCTCTTATCTCTGGGGCTGGTTGGGAAGTAGGTGGTACAGTACCCAGGACAGGCTTAATTGCTGGGGAGGAGGGACGAAACTCAACGCTCCTGGTGGTGTACAGTCCATAAGCCCTATCATGTCAGAGACAGGCAGTGTTACTCGATTAAATAGGCGAGCATAGTCCTGCCGAGCTCCCACTCCAGCTTAGCCAGAAAAGTCAGATCTGGTTGCATTTCTGCTATCTCCATAAGGCCCAAGCTATCTTTCCGCTTATCTCGTATGCACCACAAGCGGGAACTGTCTGGGTCTCCTAACGCTATACCATCTTCAAAAACCTCCCACAAAAGACCAGGGCCGTCATAGTCCTCTCCCTCGATGCAGTGGGGCCGGATCCACCCCGGGTAGTTAAAGCCTGCATGCCACCGCAGGGCCCGGTATGACTCATCTAGCCACACCTCGTTCGCAACAAGCGTTTCCAGTTCGCTTACCCATTCCTCTGAGGGCTGGTTTCCCAAGAACGGCAACCGCAGCTCTAGCTGTTCCTCTTGGCGCTGGTTGGTGGTCAGGATTCCCTCAAACCGAAAGAGCCGAATTTCATTGATGTCCTCCTTCCAGAGGTCAGTTCAAAGCGCCACCCTCCACTCTGTCTCTCTTTCCTCTGGGATAGGATACTCCATACCGTGCACCACATCCTGTAGTCGCTGCTGGAGCCTAGCGTCAAAGAGAGATACTGCACGGCCTTCCATCTCTGAAGTAGTGCTGGTTTTCCCAAGGCTATGAAGCCATCCCGATGCTTTCCACCAATGTAACGGATCATCTGGCACCCCGACTGGGTGCCTCCATTGAAGGATGCTCCTAGCGCTTCCTGAGGGCTCCAAGCACTCCACCAGAGACCCCACGAACCACGGCAGCTTGGTTGGGGTCTCGCTGTCTCCTACTCCTGGACCTACGACAAGGCTCCAGTGGGTGAACCTCTCTTTCCCCAGAGAGTGAAGCAGGAACAGGAACAAGCTCTTACAAGAGCTTAGTGATTATTCAAGGGAGTATGAAGAGCATAGCAATCCCTTGTAGCAGATTCCCCCAATAAGATACAGGACTCTAGATTGAGGGTGAAGTAGAACTAGTTTAATGAGCACAAAGGCATTTCTTATATACAGTTTTCCCCACAAGGTTACCACCCACATGGACCTTGTGGTGCACAGGACACAAAGTCACAACAGCCAATCAACATAGTATTGTACAGTTAGACACTCCCAGCTAATGCACACAAACCCTCCCTTCTGCCTGTGATACAATTACCAAACACAATGGACTAACTCAATTACCACAGGCAGAAAATATCCAGTTTTACCCAAAGTCAAGAAACACCCCAAAGCAACAACATGTCCCCACAAATCCTACATCCCCAAAAGTTTTATGGAAGTCACATTTGACCAACCGCAAGCATGGCTTTCATGCCCAAAATAGTTATACAGATTTAGGCTGTGCAGCCGGTCAATCTTCTCCTCCATCCTGGAGATAATTGGCTTAAGTGGCTGTGGTAAGCCAATTATCTCCAGGTACAGAATATCTCTAAGTCCAAAAACTGTTACAAAAACCACATAAAAATACATAACTCATATATTACAATGTTTAACCTATATGTCCAACATATCCCCAGATAGCTTGGATCTGAGCGCTCAATATGTCTTATGTTAAAAGTCCCCTATAGTACAAGGAAGGATGGGGTCAGAAAATAGCAAGGGCTGATGGGAGATTGAGGAGGGTCAAAGCAGCCAGTTTAAACTGGTCTTGCAGTGTCCCTGGGACAACACCCTGCTGGAGAAACAATAGGACAGGAAAAAGGGGGAGGGGAAGAGGCACATTTTCCCATGAATTTAAAGTGGCAGAAAAAGTGTTTTAAAATCCAATATGCCCAAATAGGGTTTTTAAACGGCAATACCCCCAGGGGCCATAGTCACGGGGCAGGAGGCGGGCAAGCAGGCCTCTCCAAAAACTCATGGCAAACTCCCTTAAAAAGGGGAGTTTGTCACACTATCTATCTAATCTTTCTATCTATCTATCTTTCTATTATCTATCTATCTATATTTCTATGTAATCTATCTATCTATTTATCTATCTATCTATCTAGCATCTATCTATCTATCTATTATCTATCTATCTATCTATCTATCTGTTATGGACAAAATACTTGAATGGATAAAATGTCTATTTACTAATGTCTATTTATTCTGTGTATCTGTGTTCACTGTGTAAAACTGGCTGCTAGATTAAAAGCTTCCCTTCCCCCCTCTGTGTGCTCAGTAACTATTTCCTCTGTAAATTCCTCCCTTTCTGCTACCCTCCCCCCTTCCCATCCAGCAAGCCTGGTGTCACAAATTCCTGTGTTAAAGGAACAGCTTCCTTTACTAACTCCTCCCCCACTTCCTTTGTGCAACTAACAGCTCTCTATAGAAACATGCCACGTGTAGTAAAATGGAGCTGGAATGGGGATGGGATACAAAGAAATGTCATGTGATGATGTTAGGGTCATGCCCAGTAGGATGGTTTTAGACAAGACCCCTTAGACTGTTAACCAATTGATGAATGTATACTTTATGTTAACTGTGACTCTGTACATGACGTATTTCTGCTTTAAAAGGAATCACACCCCCTGCAATAAAGGCCACTATGGGGTACTTCATAAACCTGCAATGTGTCCGGTGTGATTTACTTCTAGAAGACATGCACACAATCAATTTAGAAAGGAGTAGATAGACAAATAATCAAACGATTAATTTGATCCAAATCATATCTATCTATGTATCTATCTATGTATCTATCTATCTATCTATCTATCTATCTTTTTATTATCTATCTATCTGTCTATCTATCTGTCGGTCTGTCTGTCTATCTATCTATTAAACTGCTATCATCATTCACTCTCTGTACTTCCCCACACCTCATTAGCCCATTTCACTTTCTCTTCTCCAACCGTGTCACCAGTCAAGACCTCATTTTATTGTATCTCTTTGTAAACAATTTTTTAGTTTTTGTGTAAGTACACTCCACTCCCCAAATAATTTAATCTTCTTTAAGCAGGGCCATCAGCACCTTCTATTCCTTTTAATGTGTTTCCTTGTCTAATCTTCCTAATGTTTTGCAGAATATGTTAGTGTGACAAGAGCAATCTCGCCACATTGCATTGGAGAAGCCTGGTTGCTCGCCTGTTGCCTTTGGATTATGGACCCATGTTAAAAGGCTTGATTTTCCCCTGCAAAGACAAGAAAGCCGGGTCATTTGGTGCTTGCCCTATTTGAGCAGTGATACCCCAGATAGCTATGCCATGGAGCCCATTCGTATAATGAAAGACTATGGGAAAGACTTTGGCTCCATGGCAATTGAACTGTATGTGTGTGCTCTGAGCGCCATTCAGTAATAATGTGCGCTCAGACCTAAACTATCTGGGCATATGTTGCATGTCTGTATTTTATGTCATAAATGTAACCTTGTGTATTTTATTGTATTTTACTGTCTTTTTGCTGCCATGTGTTCAATTGAGTTTTGCCTCTGTCTTTGGAGATAATTGGATTACTTCTATTGGTTGTGTTCCAAAACCCGTGGGTGGTACTAATGTGTAAGAATGTGTACATAAGCACAATAAACCCACAGCTCTGTCTGTTCACTGCTTGACCCTCAACACGGAGCTTTGTCTCCTTCTTGGGGGGGATTTATTGTATGCTGTTCCAGTTTGACTGCTAGGAGTGTAAACCTATTCGTATGGTTTTTCCTATTCGGCTGTTTACAGCATTCGCATGGTTTCCTGTTCGGCGGATTGGTGTTCTGCAGTAGCTGTGCCTGCATCTCTGGAAGGGGACGATCGCCTAAATGGTTTTAACCCCCCGTGTGCTGAAACGGTCCGTTACAGTTAGTGCTTTAATAATAATATTAATAAAGACATTTGTTTTGGTAAAGCATGCTGTGGACTAGTGGCAGTTAAAACATTATTGGTTACAGTCTGACCTGGTCATTGGGTTTGTTAAAGTATAATATGGATGGATAAAGCATGATATGGCCATATGGTGCAAATTACTCTCCCTATATTTTTTATGTGGGGCAAAACATGGCTAGTCAATATGGTGATGGAACTAGAAACAGTGTTGTGCTTTTTTAAAATAATGTTTATTGAGATGAGTGATGAAATGTCACAGTCAGGGAAGTGACTGGTTCACTTTAACAGGATAGCTCTGTGTCTATTTACAACTGTGGAAACAAAGAGGTCTAGTCATTTGCAGAAAGCTTTAACTACTTTTGGATTCTTGGCGAATCTTGGTGAACATAAAATATAATTTTTTTTGGCACTTACCCTCGAAACCTGCTTCATGGAATGAAAAACATACACAGGAATCAGATCACAAAGAAAGTTTAATGGTTTCAGAAATCCTGTGTTCAAATGTTCCTTTTGTTGGGTAAATTAAACTAATCTATTCATAGTTTTTGAAAGACCATTTGAGTTCATTACACAGGGACTAAAAAGGACAAAACACATGGCGGCAAGGTGAGTATCAGGTAATTGCCCATGCTCCTAATTCAGCATCAGATAATTGGCAGGTGTGCGTTCTATTATTTATTCCCTAAACAGCAAATTGGAGTGATTTGAAAAATGTAGTCTAAAATCCCTTAGCTGTGACTTCAGGTATGCTAGAGAATGTTTCTAAATTCAGGATTTTTATACCCCCATGTCCTCTTCTACTCACTGTTTTGGCTACACATGTATCTCCTGTATATTCTGCTAATTAGAGTTAAAGGCTTTGGGGATAGTGTTTTGGATCATGGGCTAGGGAGTTATGATGTTAGGGTTAGGCTAGAGTTAGTGGTTTAGGGTTAAGAGTTAGAGTTGTGATTAGGGTTAACCATTATTTATTTATTTATTTTATTAGTCTTTATCATTTTTTTATAACCAAATATAAACCATACTTTATTTATTTTTTCCACATTTAAAAAAAAAAAATGAATTCTATTATTTTTTACATTCATTACATTCACCTTGTTTATAACCATATTTTATTTTATTTAAAATAAAAATAATATTTTTAAAATTTGTTTTCACACTTGTGTATAAACCCCATTTTTTTATTTCAAATAATGACAACCACACAGACAATATGACCCACACCTTATCTTACTACCCAGAGTGGACATCATGGTAAACCGAACCCATGCCTTACCAACCTGAGCCCCGCTCATCATCAGATACTCTACACATTAGAGCACAAGGGAGACCACACCACGACCCCCTAACACCTGTAGGCTAAGCATGAAAAACCATAGGGTACCACAAATCTCAATGGCAAAATTCCCCACAGAGTATACAACTGGGAGCCCAAGGGACATGATAACACTGTTCAGTGATGTGGTTTATGGTCGGTCAATGATGTTACACTTAGATGTATGTTGCATTCACTGTAGACCATTGTACAACCACGAGAGTGGTGGTCCCCACTATTTATTCATGTTTATCTTGAACAAAAAAAACCCAGGAATAAAAAATAAAAATAAAAAAACGTCAACCATATGTAAACCCTATGCTTACTTATTTTTAACATAAATTATATCTTATTTATATATTTTTTTATATTTCCTACCAATGTATAAACCCTACTTTGCATTTTTTTTTTAATGTTTTATTTTTTATATATTTTTACACCCATACAGTTCTTCTCAAAAGTTTGCATACCCTGGCAGAAATTGTGAGATTTTGCTATTGATTTTGAAAATATGACCAATCATGCAAAAAATTTTATTTTATTGAAGGATAGTGATCTTATGAAGCCATTTATCACATGATTGTTTAACACCTTTTTAATCATAATGATAACAGAAATCACACAAATGGCCCTAATCAAAAGTTTACATCCCCTTGAACCTTTGAATGTTTGGCCTTGTTACACATACACAAGGTGACACACACATGTTAAAATGGCAATTAAAGGTTAATTTCCCCCACCTGTGGTTTTTAAAATTGCAATTAGTGTTTGTGTATAAGTAGTCAATGAGTTTGTTAGCTCACACGTGAATGCACTAAGCAGGCTAGATGTTGAGCCATGGGGAGCAGAAAAGAACTGTCAAAAGATCTGTGTAACAAAGTAAAGGAACTTTATAAATATGGAAAAGGATATAAAAAGATATCCAAAGCCTTGAAAATGCCACTCAGTACTGTTCAATAACTTATTTAGAAGTGGAAAATTCGGGGATCTCTTGATACCAAGCCGAGGTCAGGTAGTCCAAGAAAGATTTCAGCCACAATTGCCAAAAGTATTGTTCAGGATACAAAGAAAAATCCACATGTAACCTCAGGAGAAATACAGGCTGCTCTGGAAAAAGGCAGTGTGGTTGTTTCAAGGAGCACAATACTACGATACTTGAACAAAAAATTAGCTGCATGGTCAGAAGTTGCCAGAAAGAAGACTTTACTGTACCAATGCCACAAAAAAGCCTGGTTACAATATGCCCAACAACACCTTGACATGCCTCACAGCTTCTGGTACACTGTAATTTGGAGTGACGAGACCAAAAAAGAGCTTTATGGTCACAACCATAAGCGCTATATTTGGAGAGGGGTCAACAAGGCCTATAGTGAAAAGAATACCATCCCCACTGTGAAGTATGGTGGTGGCTCACTGATGTTTTGTGAGTGTGTGAGTTCTAAAAGCAAAGAAAAGTGGGAAAAACCACCCAGTACACGTATAAAAATTTGAATTAAAACATAACCTGGAGGAATAGACCAGGATAGTTGGATCAATGTAGATCTACAATAATAATAAACATAACATAGCGTAATATAATAAAAGTTAGGACAAAGTGTGTGGTGCTAGTGTTAAACTCATAAACATAAGATGAACCAGGCTTCTCACCCCACCAGGGGTTAAAAAAGGAACCAGGAAGCTGGTGAATCCCAGTTGATGGAAATCCTCATATATTCCTTATATAAGTAGAGGAATAGAACCATACATAGTGAAGTATAATTAAAACCAGAAAGGAATTTATTAGATTGCACTTACAAATAGGTAGAGAATCTGGGCATATCTCCAGGCAAGGTGGTAGATCTTGAAATGCCAAATATCAGCAGCAGTGAAATAGTTAAAATCAAATATAAAACAAAAAAAGACTCAAATAAAAAGTCCATATAAAGTCCAAATTGATGTATTCAACGCGTTTTGTCCAATAGGGGAATTCCTCAGGGATCTATGGTCATTCCTCTTAGTGGGGACTTCTTATAACGCCAGTAATCCTTGTCCATCCATTTCACCTGATAGGGTGCATTTCAGCTATGGAACGCAATGACGTGTGTTCTGTGTGACTAGGAAAAGGGTAGATGACGTAGTCCTGTGCATGTAGTAATCGGATGAATTCAAACGTAACTGATGGAGCGTGTGCGCATGTTGTCGAAGGGAAAAAAACATGCTCACGCGCCGAGAGTATGATCTTACAAAATCTGAATAAAGGGATGAGAACAAATAGGAGAACAGTCGCCTTAACCCCTTAACGCCGTTATAGCGTTCTATGCTGTCCCGCATTAAGTAGAACGCCGTAGCGGCTGCAGCCTCGAGAGCGCCCGGGATACTTACCTA